TGCTCACCTGTCCGTCGGTCCCTATGCTCACCTGTCCGTCGGTACCTATGCTCACCTGTCTGTCGGTCCCTGTGCTCACCTGTCCTCCGTAGGTCCCTATGCTCACCTGTCCGTCGGTCCCTGTGCTCACCTGTCCTCCGTCAGTCCCTATGCTCACCTGTCCGTCGGTCCATGTGCTCACCTGTCCGTCGGTCCCTATGCTCACCTGTCCGTCGGTCCCTATGCTCACCTGTCCGTCGGTCCCTATGCTCACCTGTCCTCCGTCAGTCCCTATGCTCACCTGTCTGTCGGTCCCTGTGTCCGTCGGTCTCTGTGCTCACCTGTCCGTCGGTCCCTGTGCTCACCTGTCCGTCGGTCCCTATGCTCACCTGTCCGTCGGTCCCTATGCTCACCTGTCCGTCGGTCCCTATGCTCACCTGTCCGTCGGTCCCTGTGCTCACCTGTCCGTCGGTCCCTGTGCTCACCTGTCCGTCGGTCCCTGTGCTCACCTGTCCGTCGGTCCCTGTGCTCACCTGTCCGTCGGTCCCTGTGCTCACCTGTCCGTCGGTCCCTATGCTCACCTGTCCGTCGGTCCCTATGCTCACCTGTTCGTCGGTCCCTATCTCACCTGTCCGTCGGTCCCTGTGCTCACCTGTCCGTCGGTCCCTGTGCTCACCTGTCCGTCGGTCCCTATGCTCACCTGTCCTCCGTCGGTCCCTATGCTCACCTGTCCGTCGGTCCCTGTGCTCACCTGTCCGTCGGTCCCTATGCTCACCTGTCCTCCGTCGGTCCCTGTGCTCACCTGTCCGTCGGTCCCTATGCTCACCTGTCCGTCGGTCCCTATGCTCACCTGTCCGTCGGTCCCTGTGCTCACCTGTCCGTCGGTCCCTATGCTCACCTGTCCGTCGGTCCCTGTGCTCACCTGTCCGTCGGTCCCTATGCTCACCTGTCCGTCGGTCCCTGTGCTCACCTGTCCGTCGGTCCCTATGCTCACCTGTCCGTCGGTCCCTATGCTCACCTGTCCGTCGGTCCCTGTGCTCACCTGTCCGTCGGTCCCTGTGCTCACCTGTCCGTCGGTCCCTATGCTCACCTGTCCGTCGGTCCCTATGCTCACCTGTCCGTCGGTCTTTATGCTCACCTGTCCGTCGGTCCCTGTGCTCACCTGTCTGTTGGTTCCTGTGCTCACCTGTCCGTCGGTCCCTGTGCTCACCTGTCCGTCGGTCCCTGTGCTCACCTGTCCGTCGGTCCCTGTGCTCACCTGTCCGTCGGTCCCTGTGCTCACCTGTCCGTCGGTCCCTATGCTCACCTGTCCGTCGGTCCCTATGCTCACCTGTCCGTCTGTCCCTATGCTCACCTGTCCGTCGGTCCCTATGCTCACCTGTCCGTCGGTCCCTATGCTCACCTGTCCGTCGGTCCCTATGCTCACCTGTCCGTCTGTCCCTGTGCTCACCTGTCCGTCGGTCCCTATGCTCACCTGTCCTCCGTCGGTCCCTATGCTCACCTGTCCGTCGGTCCCTATGCTCACCTGTCCGTCGGTCCCTATGCTCACCTGTCTGTCGGTCCCTATGCTCACCTGTCTGTCGGTCCCTATGCTCACCTGTCCGTCGGTCCCTATGCTCACCTGTCCGTCGGCCCCTATGCTCACCTGTCCGTCGGTCCCTGTGCTCACCTGTCTGTCGGTCCCTGTGCTCACCTGTCCGTCGGTCCCTATGCTCACCTGTCCGTCGGTCCCTATGCTCACCTGTCCGTCGGTCCCTATGCTCACCTGTCTGTCGGTCCCTATGCTCACCTGTCCGTCGGTCCCTATGCTCACCTGTCCGTCGGTCCCTATGCTCACCTGTCCGTCGGTCCCTATGCTCACCTGTCCGTCGGTCCCTGTGCTCACCTGTCCGTCGGCCCCTATGCTCACCTGTCCGTCGGTCCCTGTGCTCACCTGTCCGTCGGTCCCTGTGCTCACCTGTCTGTCGGTCCCTATGCTCACCTGTCCGTCAGTCCCTATGCTCACCTGTCCGTCGGTCCCTGTGCTCACCTGTCCGTCGGTCCATGTGCTCACCTGTCCGTCGGTCCCTATGCTCATCTGTCCGTCGGTCCCTGTGCTCACCTGTCCGTCGGTCCCTATGCTCACCTGTCTGTCGGTCCCTATGCTCACCTGTCCGTCGGTCCCTATGCTCACCTGTCCGTCGGTCCCTGTGCTCACCTGTCTGTCGGTCCCTATGCTCACCTGTCCGTCGGTCCCTATGCTCACCTGTCCGTCGGTCCCTGTGCTCACCTGTCCGTCGGCCCCTATGCTCACCTGTCCGTCGGTCCCTGTGCTCACCTGTCCGTCGGTCCCTGTGCTCACCTGTCTGTCGGTCCCTATGCTCACCTGTCCGTCAGTCCCTATGCTCACCTGTCCGTCGGTCCCTGTGCTCACCTGTCCGTCGGTCCATGTGCTCACCTGTCCGTCGGTCCCTATGCTCATCTGTCCGTCGGTCCCTGTGCTCACCTGTCCGTCGGTCCCTATGCTCACCTGTCTGTCGGT